ATATTCCTGGCCTACCTTCAAGGTCTATATGATAAGCTTTTTTATGAGGCATATCTCCATGGAAACCCGAATATTTTGCAATGGTATTTTGTCGTAAGTGAAAAATTGAGCATATACTTGTCATTAGTAACATGTTTGGAACAAAATGTCATAAGTCAAAGTCATTTCCACCTCGACGACCATTCAATAGACGATCTCACCTTAATCCCAATTGAGCGCATAGAAATTGACTTGCCTGAAGATGAAACTACCAAATTCCGTCAATCTAGGGAAGCCCATTGGATTGAGACATTGAATACAGCAAGACCTATAGGACTAAATATTCATCATAATGTAGGCATAGCACCCTTTGTTGTCCCGTTCAATACAACCAGCAATCGAGCAAGCAAGATAGTTCATGCCCACTATAAGAGCCTTCAAGAGAAATTCCCCCATGTCTATAAGCAGAAAATGATAGTTGCATATTCAAAAAATAAGAACTTAAATGATAATATTGTTCATAGTAAACTAAAAACAATCAGTACATAACAGATACTATACTTCTCGCCTAAGCCTGTACATTTGGGAGAATCAAACCCTCCCTTCTCCGAAATCCATTACAGTACCACCTCCAGTGTTGATGCAGCTGAAGTACTTCTGTTGACGTTAGTGTTATCAAGGTCAGGTCCTGTCAAAGTTATATTACCAATCACTTCTAGGTTACGACTTCCCTGTTAGGAAAACATGTTTACTAGTTCCTACACATTTGTGTAACAATGATGCATCAGTGCTACCATCATTAATTTGGTTTATAAATATAATTGACTGTATAGTGTTTTGTATTTTCAACCCACACTTGAGGCAAGCACACTCACCATTACACCATAAGCTCTGGCAAAGCTTCATTCTCTCATTGTTTAAAGTTGGTCCTGTGACCTTGAAAGTACATGTGTTTCCGCTAACCCTACAATGCCCTACCTAACCTAATTTTAAGTCTGCCTAACACTAGATTCCATGAGATGAGCTTCAGGTTACGCGATCTTCCGTAGATCGCTTGTCACTGAACGTGCAAGACGTCTCTTCAGTATCAGAGTAATGTCAATAAATTTATCGTATATCCGTTAAACAGTTTTCTTTGCTATTCTTCTTATGGTTTATGATCATCCTACATTATTAAATCCGATTCATGTAAGTACACATATTGACATAGATAGGAGTTTTTTGTCCTCAATTTTATCTTTATTTTCTACTTATAAGTTCGTATTTTATTTTTCTGATTTCCCTTAATTGCTTTGATTGCGATTCACTTTCACTATGTAAACATTTACTATTTTATACCCCTTTCGCACTGCAAAAGTAATTCGGTTCTATCCAATCCGAATAACTTCCGGTTGCTTTCGCACTGGCAAAAAAACTTATTCGGTTATAACCAAAAGTTATCCAGATAGAAAAATCTACCACAAGAGGTGGATTTCGTCTGGATACGATCCAGATAAGTGGCAGTGCGAAACCAAACAAGAAGGTATCCGAATAAGTTTATCACGTGGGGTGGGGTGTTGGCGGGGACAAGAAAAGGATTCAAAAAGTACACGAATTGTCTAGGAAAAGAATGAATATATATCGGAAGAGGAAACAGAAAATGCTTTTGATTTTATTTTCATATTTTTTGTCACGTGATGTGTTACTAAAAATAAAAAGTTATCTAGATAACTTGACTCGGCAGTGCGAAAGCGGCTATCAAGATAGGATTGCAGTGCGAAAGCAACCCGAAACGAATCGAACTGAATCGGATTTTTCTATTCAGTTATAACCGAATTCAATAATTCAGTTGTGCAGTGCGAAAAGGGTATTAGTTAGTGGGACTTACTGAGAATTACACTTTTAATGTTTAAAGACTTATCATTATAGAACTAATGAAGTGCTGTTATTTAACGTAAAATTGGTTGTCTATAGTTTTCATGGGAACATCGATGTCGACTATTGTAATTAATTTTTGCTATAGCAGTAATAAAGTTCAATCATATGACTAAAGACTTGTATGAATAATCTTAATCATTTACTATTAAACCTAAGTTAGCTTAACATTATTTACGATTTTAGCTCCAAAATTGACTTCACTTAAAACATACTAGCCTCAGTCCATATTCTACCATTATTATACTATGTATATTATTATTATTTTATGTACATATATTCACATCTTGAATATCTTTTTAAAACATCTCACCAGGTTGAAAAATACCGAAGTTATTATCTCATCTCGACCTATGCCAGAATTGAATCCTGGACCTTCAGATTAGCGAGCAAGCGTCTAACTCACTGAGCCACCGCGGCTCCCTCAATGTAGTTCAAACAATTTTTTCAATGTAGTTCAGATTTGGAACCTTAAAATGCGAATAAATATTCTATGTTGCCAATGTGCACAGTACTTTAGTTATGATCCTAAGATAATAATATTGCTATATTGAGTTATACACATGTCGAGTATAACCTTATCTCTCTGTCTTTTGACACCATTAAAAGATAAGAACAATGAAATTCATACGAAACTGATTTGTCATTATGGGTGTATTGAACCTGGCATGATTTTCCCACCTCAACCGAGCAGCTGTCCTGCTATATCATTATGACTCTTATTTAACAATTTTAGTGTCTTATCTAATCTCTGAGTATAAAAATCAGAGTTATTTTTTTATCAGATTATTAAAGGTAGCATTGGTGGTGTCAGAGACAACAGTATAGGAACCACTGAGGTGGGTTCATTATTAACAATTCTACTTACCTCTTAATCTCAACAAACGCCAGAATTAGTGCTTCACTCTTAATCAAAACAATCATTAGATATAGTACTTAGTTATAATATAGTTCCAGTTCCACTACGCCCCCCTCCCCTCGAGTATTAGATATACTTGGATTTCTAATAAGTTTTAATTGAATAATCTTTCAACCATGGTTAATGAAATTATTCTGTTGCCTTAAACAGTAATTGCATATCATATTTATTTATATTTTTCAGACATGAATTGGGAAGTGTTGGCTGGTGTTTTGTTGGTATTGTACGTGTCTGTTACTAATACCAAGGAAATAAGAGACACAGCCTCTAACATCCAAAATGGTTTATCATTAGCTAAAGAACTTGGTGACTTTGTTGTGGCCAAAAAGTTCACCAATGTCATTGGAAAGCTGGCTACTGCTGTAACCCCTTTTCTTGGGATCGTTGGACCCTTCGTTTCTTTCATCATGGGATTTTTCGGACAATCTGAATCAGCCGAACTGAAAGCCATTAAACGGTTGTACACGGAAGTTGACAATCGATTCGATAAAGTCGATTTACAATTCATTGAAGTGAAAAGAATGATCGATTGGAGTAAAATACAAGTACAGTATTCTGATATCGAGCAAAAAATTAATGCTGTTAACAAAGCGTTCGAAAATATCTACAAATTTTCCACTGCAGCTGTTAAAACCACGACTTCTGCCTTCGTTTCAAACTACGAGAGTGATTATCAAAACAGCGGATCAAAACTCTACGATGGCATTATGAATGAAGGGCGGGTGTTTGGAGATGGTCTGTTTACTGCTGTTGTCAAATATAGCGAGTACGACAGAGTAAAAAGTCAAACCTTTATGCTGGGACTTCTTCAATTGTTGATGAAAGCAGCAAAGTTAGAACTGACTTACCATCAACTGAAAGGCCACAAGGCAGCTCTACATGATTACCAAAACCAATGGAGAACTCGATTTACCCATATCAGAATCAAAATGATGTCTACAGATAGCTCTATTGTTAGTCAGTATCACACTCAATCTGGAAAAGATATTGACAATTATCTAATAAAGCATCAGAAAAATACAATGAACAATAATGACTTCAACAATGCGCTGTATGCTTTCCTGTCTAAGAAATACTTTTGGCGAGATTGGTTCACTGTTACATACAATGATATAACTGGTAGTAATGTACATTATGTTGGAGAGTGTGGTGGTCACATCAAATTTAGAAACCATGGTAGAAACGTGGTGGTCGCAAGTGTTGACAGTCGTAAAGGACACATCAACATGGGTCAAGCTCTAAGCATTGTCAATAATGTAGATACATGTAATATTATATACGGCAGGGCTCACAACTCCCATAGACGAATAGATTGCGACAAAGCCTATAACAATTTCCCAGCGTCAGTTAGAGACCATTGCGATCCATATGCCGCCCAAGGAGTCATTGCTTATAAAAAGCATAATGACTATGACGCTCATTTCAAAGCTGCTCCTCGACGAATGTATTTGAGAAGCAGAGAAGATTGTAACCATGTTTATATCTTTGGTTGATTAAATTTTATCATCAATGTTTTTGTTATTTACAATCCACGTTTCTCATTTTAGAGTCCACTCGCGCACGAAAATCATATTCAAATACGTACGTAGCATCTTACTGACGTCTCCAACATGCTTGGCATCGACATTTTACAATTTCCATGTACATGCCATCCAGTTCTAGAAATGGAGTGTGAATGAAGGTTGGTGGAAGATTCTACGGACATCATCACCGACGACCAGACAGTGGAAGTGAAAGATGTAGAGGGTTGAGACAGTGAAAATAGAGTAGGAAGACGAGGCAGGGGAAGTAGAGAATGTAACAAGAAAAGGCAGATAGAAGACTCGATGGAGAGTGTCGCAAAAAGTTCCAAAAGAAATGTCCATTTTACGATGAAAGTAAATGCGACGTATTGCATTATATTGAGGACATACAAAAGAAAGTTTAATTCGTAATTTGGAAAAATTTATCATCGAATTTTGAATTCAAATCAAATCAAGTCTTTTTTTTAAATCATAATTACTGGACCCAATTGAGTTGAGAAATTGAGAAATCTGCAGAAAATGAAGCTGCCTACCTACAGACAGGACATTTAGGCATATTCCTATTATTGCTTTAGCCAAGCCTATTAAATGTCTTTGTTACACATTCACATGCCAATGTGTACGAGATGTAGAGTTTTTAAAAAGAAAGCCGCAATACAATATACCTACCCCACTATAGTCAAATAGTCTTCTCAAACCCTCAACGTGAAAACCGACATAGATCTAATTTAGGCCAAATTGACTGCTGCTATTTTTTGATTTTTAGTACCTACCTCGGATCTCCTTAGTATCACAACCGCACTCCTATTTTTTTGCCTTGGTGGACACAGTCTACGGTACTGACACTGTCCTTTGAAGGCGAATGGGAACGTCCGGTACAGCATCCTCATCCTACCCGCAATGCGTGTTGGAGAGCCTCCGATCCATAGCTCCCCCTGTTTGACACTCTCTTGTATAACCTAACCATCTGGAAAAAAATAACCCTTTAATGAACTGATTATCAAAAATATCATTGTGGGGCAAGGAGCCCACAATGGGCGTCATGGCTCACATGTATGTGGGCGTTTCACCTCCAGTAGACTGTTTCGTTTCAACAATAGAATTTTTTGCGGTCTAAAAATTAAACAACAGTTATGTCCCATTTTCACAGCCATTCTTTCCATTTAGATTATTCGGACATAGAAAGATTTCTCTCTGTTCATATTTAATTTGAATGAAATAACTCTCAAATAATGAACATTTTATTTTAAGAAATGTAGCTAAATCACATGATTAATTATTTCTAACTTATATTTTGACGAAATCCAAAGACTTTTCAAACAAGACCTTTCAGGCTCGTGGACGTTGGTTTGACGTTATTATTCGCTGCCTCTGGTGAATAGTTTGCGTACCACGTGAGGTGGGCATTTTACCTCGGGTGGACGCTATGCCCCACCCTACCTTATTGATGATTGTTTACTATAATTTCTAGAGCATAAAATAAACTAACTAAAAAAGGTAGTTAAATAATGCATATTAAAGTTCCTTAGTAATAAAGGTGTTCACCTTGCACTTTATTCTGTAAAGAAGCTACTGATACATAAATAATCATCACCAAAATAGGTTAAAAATAGTTGCTAGAATATATAGAGCCAACGCACTTTTTTATTCTGAGATGCAAATGTTATATGTTTTATTAATCATCCTTGTATACTAGAACGTTGTTCAGTATCTATAAATGATAGTTTTATTAAACTATTGCTTCATTAGCTTTTTTTGTTGTATGTTTAGTCGGGACATTGTCTGGTTGTTATAGTGTTAGTTTTGGAGATACGGATGAATCTAGGGACATTTTGTCCTTTTTATCTGATTAGGAAATGGCAGAATTGTTGCAGGATCAGGCCCAAAAAGTTGAAGAGGTCGGGGTAAAATCTCTAAAAAAGACATTTTAAGTAATAGAGATATCAGTAAATTAAAGGGACAGCTTGGGATATTTCTGAATTTGCTCACGAACTAGATGTCAAGATTTGCATCCTCAAATTTATACCTAAAAGCAATACCTGATTCAATACACCTGGATACTAGTAAATCTATTCAAACCAGTAACTTGTAGAAAAACCAGATATCTGTGCAATTGAAATTTACATACGAAAATGTTAACTACTATGTACTCTGTAATTTAACAATGTTCATTTCTATTACCAGTGGCCTGTAAAAATACCTCCGTCGTGTTATTTTACAAGCTTTTCGTAACAACTTTCTGCCAGAAATTTCAAGGAAAAACACTTATATAATTTTTACAGTTTCTGCCAGTAGCGTTGCATCAAGTATGTTACATTAAACTACCGAAGGTTCTTGTAATGTGGGCATTGGTGGCTCCTATTCGAGATCTTGCCCGCGTTTTTAACTTAGTTGTGTCATTTTCTCTTGTTTTGTTAGTTTGTCTTTGAATAAGCCCGNACATGTAATTGTATCAGTTTTTATAC